CGGTTCTCGGATTCTTAGAATCCCGAAACTCTGTTCAGATATGTTTTAGAACGCGGAAAAAGGTGTCTAGAGGAAGTAGAAGGAATGCGTTCAACAGCCCAAAGCAGACGCGGTTTACAGCGAGGGCATGAGGCCGACAAGGGAAGAAGACTAGGTCGCAGTGGCCATTCAAGATGAGATGATAGCGACGTAAGTGCTTCCAAATGCTGATTTCGAATCTGGGTTCCAAACCGGAGATACGATTCTGGGAACAAAGTTATGGGCCTTCTTTCCCCGAATTTCATGCCACTTTACTGCTTTGATATGCGAGCCGAGCAGCATCGAAACGCGCAGCGATGGCCGAGTTGGGAGGACGATGGACTGGTAGGCACGACATGGAGGTTCGAATCTTGATCCATTTGCTTGTTCTGATTTTTTACAAAAATCGTCTTAAATGCTTGCAAAGCCCTTTTATGCATTATATAGACTACCTAGAGCCCTCCTTCGTATTTATTGAGCACGAGAAATGCTAATACAATGAATTTTTCGTCGCCTCCGTAGACCGAGCATGGGTGTTCATGGAACCCCTCTGCTCCGGAAATTTATGACATGGTCACAAAATCCGGCAACTCCATACACTTTCAACGGAGGGCGGTCGAATGTCTCATCCGACCATAGCGCTTTGGATGAAGCAATGCTCTAGCTATTGGTAAGAGTAAGCTGGTACATTTCAGCTAAAGTTCCCATGAGAAAATTCTGTCCGTATCTTAGGAGAATATTTTATGTGTTAATATGATAACCCAACGCAAGGTGTTTGAAGCATTGTGTTTGGAAGGCTTCTTACAATGAGAGCAACTTAAGATAGAAAGTTCACCAAACCCGCAACTCTTACAGCTCACAGCTCCCGTCTACGTGAAACAATATTGTACAGGGCCTCCAATTTTTTCTAGGTCCCTATCCAGGTGCCCCGCTGCAATCCTTGAATCACGAAAGACACAATACGCTTATATTTGCTCCAAAGTGTAAGAAAAATAGACATCGAGAGGGCGAATTCGAGAATTTGCGTCAGGTGTAATGTTGCGTAATTCCACGTCTTCGCCAGTTGGCAAAGCATCTTGAGTTGCTTCATTGTCCTTGAACGAGATCCATGAGTCGTCAGTAGGGTTGCAAGCAAATATGTTGATCCAACACACGACCCTCCAGTCCAGCATTAGTTTCTGCCGAAAAGGATTTAAACCTCCGTGTCGCGCCTACCAGTCCATCGTCCTCTCATCTCGGCCATCGTTGCACGTTTCGATACTGCTCGGATCGCATGTAAAAGCAGTAAAGTGGCATGACACCCGAGGAGAAAAGGGCCCATAACTTCGTTCCCAGGTTTCGCAGATTTGGAACTCGGATTCAAAATCAGCGTTTGGAAGCACATACGTCAGTACACATCTCATCTTGAATGGCCACTGCGACCTAGTATCCTATCTTGTGAGACCAAACATTATAACTATGTTCAGATAATTATGTTCACTATGTTAGATGATTCTAGAACGCGGCAAAAAGTGGTTGGAGGTTATAGAATGAATGTGACTAATGTCTGAAATGGATGGGGCTTGCACCAAGGTGGGTGGGTGGAAGGGGGGCGTTAAGACCAAAAATTCATATTTCTGTTCAAAACCGTTCTAAAACATGGGGGCAAGTGTTCTGAGGTTTTAAGGGGTTGTGGTCAAGTTTTTGAAGTGGACGGGGCTTGCACCAAGATGGGTGGAGCGAAGATCAAAAGTTCACAACCCTGTCCTCAACATCCCAATATCGTTCTACATGTGATGTCATCATCATTAGTCATTACCTATGAAGCCGTCTACTTATACATATAAAAAATCCGTTTCTGCCCCCCAAAATTCTACACTACCTGAAAAAGTTGGGTCAACTTCGGTATGGCTGGGACCTCGACCAAGATCTACAGAGCACATATGAATTTAAGGAGATATCGCTCACAGTACACTACCCTTATTGGGTATCCTAATATGTCTCATGTCCTCCACAGCCGCATGTCAACACTCAGCTACCTCATGTGCAATGAGGAAAATCAATGCCATCTAGAATATAGCAGATGTCCACTGTTCAACAGGCTTCAGCCGGAGCGATGCACTAAAAACTTGCCCATGAGCAGAACCGTTTTGTCAGCTAAATTCACCAAAAAGTCCACAAACTTCGAACGTTGCGAGGACCATTCTGCGGATGTGGTCCACCGCTTCCTAGCTGTTGGTTTTATAAAATCGCCCGCAGACCAGTAGCAGATCGGACATTTGTACAGTGTCTTCACTAGACTACTACCGCCAAATAAGACGGTCGAACAAGCTATAGTGAATCGAATAGAAAAAGCTGAGCAATCGTTCACGCTACATTAGGTCACTAACACTGATAACTTAAACATTGCAATCACATAAATTCAAATGTCATTTTATTCACTAGAGAAAAAGCGCTCTGCGATTGCGGAAGAGCTATTCCGTCTGCCACCTAATTCCAGAGTTGCAGTTGCATGTAACACACCTACTCATGCTACGAGAGAATTTTCTACCTCCTCTACTCAGAGCAGTTGTAGAAATTCGCCACGTTACTGCCTGAGTCCGGACGACTCTTTTCAAAAACTCTCTCGCAATCCACAAAGCACCTACCTCTAACAGGGAAGTTCTTTCAGGGCGTGGGACGCTTTTTGAAAATGGTTTTTTGCATGGCATAGGGGCATGTGCACTGAGTACAGAACTATGGTCTATTTCCGCTAAATGGCCTTCCGAAAGCCAAAAAACAGTGAAAATCATTTTGCCAGTAATTGCCGTTTTAACCCACTGAGCTTCGCTTGTTTCATTCATGGCGTCGACTGTGCGCATAGTAGAAGGCGCCGGTGGACTGCGCATTGAAAATAACATGAACGGTAGCCAAAAAAGGGAGCCACATGTTGAAACATGTTGAAATATACGGGGAAGTTCCATATAGGATCTTCACGATTGAGCTGCTGGCAGCGACGGATGGTGTGGTGGATAGCGATGTGGACTTCGAGTTGGGACAATAGGATGGGTTGGTGGTTCGAAACCTGAGGCTATGCCGTTTTTGCATTTTATGCTACCACCTCCAGATTGGCTCCATATTGCACCAGGGCCAAAGCAAGTGCCTGACCGGTCATGGTCGTGTTCAGGACCAGCGATAACCTCTAAAAGTCGTTAGAATTTGATGTGTTGAGCACTATCAGTGCAGGAGCTTCCAGGGTTCACACTCCTAGGAGTATAAAGGGGTCTCTTCATTTCACATTATATAAGTGTTATAATGGGGGTCAAAACCCTATAATATGGCTCCTGTTCGATGGAAGCGGTCCTCGACCTCGTTCGTCAATGCAAAGGTAACAGGATTCCCATATTCATTGTAGCTCCCGATCCCGACTTTTCCCTGGTCGACAACCGCGGACTTTTGCGGGAAAACGAATCAGATTCTCTTTCAACTCATCTTCTTGCTGAAGGATCCTTGAGCATTGGGCTTGATATAAAGAGCTGTTACCCCTGAAGGGAATCATTCAAGCATCATATTACTAGATCAAACACCAGATGAAGGGTTTGGGCGATACCCGTTCCAAGCATACGATTCTCCAACTCCGCGTCCTGCTATGAAGGGCAGGCGGGACGCCACCAAGGACGTTGCTGAAGTCGAAGTGACCGCAGAGGATACTATTCTTGATACTAAGGGGGAGGGGGGAGGGGGTTAGGGGGACTTCTGGGAGTGTGAAGTCTGGAAGCCCCTCCACTAATAGTGCTCAACACATATAATTCTAACGACTTGTAGAGGTTATCGCTGATCCTGGCCACGACCTTGACCGGTCAGGCACTTGCTTCATCCCTGGTGCAATATGGAGCCAATTTGGAGGTGGCAGCATAAAAAGCAAAAACGGCAAAGCCACGGTGATCTGAACCATCAACCCAACCTAGTCGTCTCAATTCGAAGTCCACATCGCTATCCAACACACCATCCATCGCTACCATCAGCTCAACCGTGGAGGGCCTATATGAAAATTCCCCGCACTTTTCAACATGTGGCTCCCTTTTTCGGCTACTGTTCACGTTTTTTTCAATGCGCAGTCCACTGGCCCCTTCTACTGAGCGAACAGTCGACGCCATGAATGAAACAAGCGACGCTCAGTGGGTTAAAACGGCAAGTCCTGACAAATGATTTTCACTCTTTTTTGGCATTCAGAAGACCATTCAGCGGAAATGGACCGTAGTTCTGTACTCAGTGCTCATGCTCCTACACCATGCAAAAAAACCATTTTCAAAAAGCGTCTCACGTCCTGAAAGACCTTCCTTGCAAGAACACCTCGCGCAACTATAAGCGATGTGAACGAAACATCGTACGAAACACTCTTTCCAAAAACTCTTTCGCAATCCACAAAGCACCTACCTCTGAGAACATCTCGTGCAACTATAAACGATGTGAACTAAACATCGTAACTACGTCCAACGAGGAGGGGAAAATTGTCTTACAGATTGAGTCAAGGATGCTACAAAAAGTGGTAGCAGAACTCATTAGTAGCCAAGAGTGTAGCTCACATGATGCTCAATACAAACGCATACTGGTTGCTCATTTTACAGCAATCTGCAAGTCACCAGCGAAAACTATAGTAACAGTCACTTGCCAATTTCAACGACTCTTGGCTAATTGAAGTCATTCGGAAGAAGAAAATGAAGTCTTTCTCAACTCCAACCATTCTATCGTGAACGAACAACGCTATAATCATTGTTCCAATAGACCCACTAAGTTGCTCCTGAATGGTACTCTATGTTACCAACTCACTAAATCCCAAGTGATTCCTGTTTTTGAAATGAAAGCTAATGGGATGACCTAGATCACCAAAGGTTCAGTGATAATAGCTTACCTGATATCGATCCCTCTCTGAACAAGAGTCACTGGGAACTGACTTTAATTGCGCTCGACACAGCACTTGGCTTTGCCCCTCTCACTTACTTGAGTAATCCACTTGCTTGTATCTACAACCTATCTTTGCTAACACAATTATTATCTTCGTTGCCAAGTACATATTTTCTTGCACTTCTGCACAAACTGCCTAGTCTGATGAAGCAGCTACCGGAACGGCAGTTGCTTACTGATCATAACTCCACAGCAACTCCGCACCGACGCTCCAAAAAAATGTCGTTGTTTCGTAGGACATTTCGAACTCCATTCTTGTGCAAGGAAGTTTTAATGACGCTGCCTAATTAACTTTTCTGTGTTCAACGCGGGTTTCAAAGCGGCGTCAACACGGTTGTATATTGATATTTCAATCCTTTCGATCTTACCAATACACACTTATATATAGTCTCAATGTCAATGCTGAGCATATACAAACATAGAACGAATAGCCATTGCACACCAGACTATATGGCTGCGGAATTCTAGTAACTGTAGTTCTCCTGGAAGGCCTGAAACCTGTGCATTAGGATGCATATAAGATGAACTGCAGCGTGTGGTCTTGTCCACAACCTGCTGCTCTGACACCAGAAAACTACAGCAGACACATAATCGACACCGTTTTTGAAGATGCGTCGTCGTCAAACAGTCTACACCATCCAACTAGCGGCCTCCATCAATCAGTCATCATTATTTCAACGAGCAGCCAACGCTTCAAGCAGTATACATCGCCACCTCGCAGAAGTATCATCGTCTGCGCATCGCGGGCAATGATTCCTTTTCGACTTCACATCTGGCACAATCGGACAACACGTGTAGGACGCTAGTCTTCTCAATAATAGAACATCACATCAAATTCAATCAAATCAACATCAATAACATCAAAAACGTTTTTCTGTTCGGGTATAATGAACACATTGCTCGAAGTCTCTCTTTTTTCTGATAAAGTGCGCAATAAACATGTTCTCTCGCCATTAATAACAAGTCCACTTAACCACCGCAAGGTGGTTTCGAAACGGTTCAGCAGGACCCTGAGTCTCAACTACTCGCATCAACAGGGCCGATGGTAAAGAGTTCACATACAAAGAGGTAAAGTGATCGAAAATTTTCCACTGAAAAAGGATCGAATTCCGACATTTATGTAGGTCAGTCAATATGTGAAATTTTAAATTTGTCGACTAACTTGATGAAGGACTGAACATTTCCTAGATTAACGTTTGACCTTACTTCCATCTTATACTATTCTTTCCGATCTTCTCAACGATATCAATGCCTTCAAGCACATTGGTGATATCGTACAAGCGACGTTTGGGAACATTTAGTATCTCGGCAGCATCGTTCAAATTTACGCTCTAAACAAGAGAAGATTGAGTCTTAGAGATCTCCGGGTCATTCAGGACTCACCTCACTGCGACTTTTCAGTCCCAAAAACTTCCTGGTGGTGACGAGCAAAGAATTATCCATACGGGTAGTAACCCGACCTGAATAAAGAGAATAATACAGCCTCAGCAATAATGAACAGCGATATTGGAAGAAAATAAGGATGTTTTTTCGCTAAAAAAGTGAATAAAGGAGTCTAAAAAAGTCGCCATACACGACCCCAACCCTTAAATAATTCAAATTTTCATGGAACCTTGAAAAGAGACCGTGAGACCCAGATATATCTACAGGATTTTCGATACTGTTAACAAAAATATTGGGGAAGGCCGAGAATTTTCAGAATTTTATGACTATTACTGTATTGCTTTCCCGCCATTCACTTATGGTCTCAAATGGAAGTAGAGTGATGAGCACGACCGTTGCAGAAATTGCGATGGAGTGATGAAATACATTAGAGCCAAGTACAAGCTAAAACCCAGAGAAAGTGGCGAGCAAATACTGTAAGAATATTCATAGTTTTTGGGGCACCTGACAGAAATCAAACATGCTAATAGAGTTTCCGAAAAAAACTATGAGCACTCAAAGTTTGCTTAAAGATGGTCTCAGTTGAAATGCGCAGTTGTCCGCAAGCGCTGCCGTAACGCAAAGGCCGTGCCCTCTTCAGAAAAGGGCCTTGTATGGAAATGAAGGAGACAATTTTCTCGTCATTTTTTCAGAAAAGATCAACTTGCCTATGTTTTGAAATTATGCAGCCACCTTATGTTTTTTGGTCGCGCTCCATTTACACCTTATACGAACGCTTCATTTGTTTAATGTTTTCCGAATACAGGCAACGGGAGGTTGCTATCCAATTCCTAGAAAGGTCGAAGTCCCGCAAAAAGGAACAGGAATTGTCAAATTGTAGAGTTGCTTGAGATTTGGACCGATGCCACGCACTTATCGATGGTTTCGTCAGGAAATCTATGAGACCGAAAAAAGTATGGGAACTCTTTCGCAACTTCCAAAGCGACGGTTTTTAAGAGAATCGTCGAATACGATCAAGTCATGTACGGAAATAATGTTCCCTTCAAATTCAAAGCTCATTGGCTCGAGTATTGTTTGGAATGCGATAAATGAGTTTAATTTATAGTTGCCCGGAGAATGGGGATGCCACACTTTATCACCGCAAAGCGTCGTGATAACCGGGTCGCTTTTGCCAGGAACTGCATCCAAACAGATTAATGTAAGATGCTCTTTCATGTCTCGCCGTTTACTCTCCCCTCTCTCAATGTTTCGTTATCCAGGTTGTTTTTTCCAAAAAAAGTCGGACTGCGATGGCCCAGATGGCAACTAGTTCTACTGGCACGGATAAGCTCTATAAAATAAGCTTCAGATTCCGAGACTTTAAGAGAGGAGCAGTCTTGGTTTGGACAGCAAGTTCTTCTAGTAAACTTCTTCATTTATGTCTTGTTGCGGAGAAGCTCAAATCTCCCCGTTATCGAGTCGTAATGCGCAGTGCTGTTTCTCCTTTCTGGCGACAGAATCGGCAGTGGAATTCCGTATCTATGTAGAAAAATGCACCGATTGCCGTCAGCTGGAGCACCTGGTTTAGCCCGCACTAAACCGACCTCTTGCCCTGGTCGACTAACAGCTCTGACTTGAATCCGATGGAAATCGATTTATAACAACTCATGGCAAAGAAGATTCATAAAGGGAAAACAAGCAGTTCGGAAACAACAGTGATCTGAAGAAAGCTTTTGTCGATGCTCGGGACCAAATTCTGTAAGATCCCATTGTTAGCCTTTACTTCAGCTCAACCAATCGTATTTTCGAGGTTATTCGAAGAGATGGAGCCCAACTGATTGATAATCATGCAACTTCCTCTCCTTCATATTGTTTAGCTGCTGAATTTTTTTGTCTGAAACATATGCAGGGTGGACTCTTTCGAGGAAGTGAAGGAAAAGATTGCCCGGGTCCTGGTAAAACTTGCTGTAGATGTGCGAATTGAGTTCTGAGTAAGGCACATTTTCCATACTGAGACTTTTCTGAAGTTCCCTGAAACGTGAGCTTTGGTGGAAAACATAGGTGGTAGTATCATTATCCAGCACACTGTATACACAGTATACCCGCCAAGTGTGTATGTTGGTTTGTCGGTTAGTGTGTGCGTACGTGTGTGTGAGTGCCACTTTGTGTGTGCGCTTCAGTGTGTGTGCTAGTGTGTGTGTGCCAGTATACGTGTGTGTGTCGGTATGTGTGTAAGCGTGTTTGGGCCAGTGTGTGTGACGAAGTAAAGAGGCGAAAGCGTACATATAGTCGCGCTCAAAAGCATTCGGTGAAACGCTTCTTTGATATATCTTTTCTCTTTACCAGCAGTATTATATAATATTCAAATTCTTTTTCCAAGGATCTCGACGAGATCACAGCCTTCCAAATCGTTTCTCGGACTCTTCAACGCCGCCAGGTCAGCAATCCGTTTTTATCCTAGAGAACGTGTGCGTACGCTACGCGTGCGCAGTTCGAAGTCTAGGCCTCGTCGCAGCGCGAACGACATGCACGAAATGTAAAGGCACAGTTCACGACAAAATGGTTTCTGAGGTTTTCACATAGTATGAATTCGAGGCTCCCACTTATACCATACCTGACGTTGTAAGGTCGAAAAACGTCATGGATAGGGCACAATAAGGGGCCAGAGATTGTATCGTGTGAATGCCACCCCCACCGTGAACGAGTTTGTAGAGGCTACACTACCTCGAGAGACTCCCATGTGGGAAGTTCAAACAGTTTGCCGCAACCCATGGCGACATTGAAAGGCAGTTTAATACAATTCCGGCTTGGTGTAGTCATCTCTTCCAGCAATAGGAGCCAGTTAAACCTCGCCCAATCACCCCCAACATGCCATCACCGTTAAGATGATCTCGCAAGCCTCCACTTCCACTACTTTTAAAGTCTTGAAGTAAGCGGATTTTCTCGCTTCCATCGCCACCGATGTATTTCTCTACATCAACACTTCCACTTTCCTACCTGTAAAGAGTACCTAAGAATTATCGTGAACTGTGCCTTTAATGTTAACATGACACTAACATTAGTAGGCAGGCTGTCGGAAGGGGCCCGTATGTTGTGGGACTGAACGGAAGGCGTCCAGTCAGAAAACCGCCCATAACTACGGAAAATCGAAAAGTTCAAGTAGAGTTCGTACGCCAACACCTTGCATGGACCTCGGCTAAGTAGAGCACTGTGCTTTTCACGGATGAAACAAGTTTACCCTGTCTGGAAGTGACGGTATAAAGTAATTGATTCTTCTGGTTAGCGGTTTCGATTCGATTTTGAGTACATTGAACCTACAGTCAAGCATGGTGGGGGGTCAATGGTGGTCTACTATGCTTTCTCGCGAGCAGACGTTTCAGGGACATGGTGGTGAGTGATGTCATGCCGTGGACACAGCAGAGCATGAATGGTGAACGAACTCTGCACCAGAACAACGATCCACACATCAAGTACTGCGAAGGAAGCAATCGAGAAGCAAAAAATCTCGAATGGCCGAGCCAGCCCAAAACATGTATCCAACATAACAAGTATGGGAAGAGCTCGTGAGGCGGTGTTCGAAGAAGCCAGCAGAAAACAAGGATGAGAAATTTGCTCATTTATTTAGTTACGGAACGGGATGAAATACCGCCGACTTTCATACAGAAGCTCATCGACTTACTTCCTTCTTGCTGTGAAGCAGTGGTCAAGAATTAAGGTTCCTCTATGGAGCACTAAACTATCCAGGTTTTTCTTGCGCTCTTAATTTACAACCAAACGGTTCGCCCGAAGCTTTTGCTCTCCGTTTTTTTCCCCACTGAAATTGAGTATTTTTTTTTTTGAAAAGAACCGCGAACCAAACACATGGCAGCAAATACTGCAAAATATCGACATATGTGTATATATGCATATATATGATATATGTGCACAGTAGTTGGGCTATGCACGCTAACGCGTGCACCACACCATGCCCATTACCGCCTACCTACGACTTATTAGTGTACTAATATGAACGGTATCGGTTGACTTCCCATTTCATAACTGTTTCCTAACCGCGCTCACGTGGCATTCACATCTTCATCGTATCTACGTAACTTTCGAAAGGACGCAGAAACCGGCCCACAAACAGCCACACAANTATATATATATATATATGTATATATATATATATTCGTTCATGACTTTTTCCTTAGTGGACCAAATCGCGCGAAATTCGGATATGTTTAACTAGAGCATATTTACCCTACCCAACACTATTTGACTGCAAAACTGCAATATGCACCGATAGAGCAAGGTTTGTTGCGGTAGCAGATTGTGCTAAAGCTAAAGTTGTTGACGTCTCCACTTATTCGCACCGCATGAGCGTTTTTCTCATCTATTGTGTTCCGTATTGTCGCTCGTACACTTTAGACAGGACAAAAAGGAAAGAGATTCTAGAAGGACCATTATCTGTATTTCCAGTCGACTTTGAGTTCATGCTCTTTGGATTATCTGGAACATGATCAGATTGCATGTTAATAGTGGTAAATACTCACAATACACCCACGCTCAAAATATAGAAATTTCGCATGATTGAATCCAGTAGGAAAGGAGTTACGACTAAAAAGTACGGACCGACTCTCCCGCCATGCAGAATTGGCAGTAGCTCACTTACGGCCAACTAGGTGAATTTTTTTTCAAAAAACTTGCGAAAGGGGCATGTTCTCTAAGTAGGTTTGTGTTTTCATTGTTTTTCGAGTCTAGAAATATTGGCAATTCTTCTAGTCTGATAGCTTATCGCTCTTTGCGAAGAGACAAAACTCTGGTTCTCGCTTTCCGACCGTGGAGCAGCTCTCCGCCATTGCCACGAGCGGTAAGCTGGAATTGACCCATGCTCAACATCCAAGGCTGTTTGCTGTACTAATGTCTACGATTACAAAGGCTCTCAGAGGTATTGAGTCTCTCATAGACCCAACCAAGCGAGCCAGCTCGGGAAGGTTACAGTTGCCGCTACTGAGGACAATAGGAAGATAATTTGTACGTCGGCTCAAGATTCCACACGAGCATCTCCCGATATAATGACCGAAATATCAACAACGGCGACG